TTTCGAACCTATTCATTATCTTCCAGTTCATGTGCACACTTTCCTATCAGCTGGTGTACACACCCTCTCTTTCTGTCCCACAAAAAGGCGTATTTTACCGCGTAATTCATTAAAGCGTCTCAGTTCACGGTTATTAACTTCAAAACACAGTTGAACTATTTGTGCTTAAGACCTTGCTCGTGTTAAGTTCAATGTCCTTATGACGACAACCAGGATATTATTCTTATGACGACAACCGTGATATTATCCTTATGGCGACAACCGTGATATTATCCTTATGGCGACAACCGTGATATTATCCTTATGGCGACAACCAGGATATTATCCTTATGACGTCAACCGTGATATTATCCTTATGGCGACAACCGTGATATTATCCTTATGGCGACAACCGTGATATTATCCTTATGACGACAACCGTGATATTATCCTTATGGCGACAACCGTGATATTATCCTTATGGCGACAACCAGGATATTATCCTTATGGCGACAACCGTGATATTATCCTTATGGCGACAACCGTGATATTATCCTTATGGTGACAACCAGGATATTATCCTTATGACGTCAACCGTGATATTATCCTTATGACGTCAACCGTGATATTATCCTTATGACGTCAACCGTGATATTATCCTTATGACGTCAACCGTGATATTATCCTTATGACGTCAACCGTGATATTATCCTTATGACGACAACCGTGATATTATCCTTATGGCGACAACCGTGATATTATCCTTATGGCGACAACCGTGATATTATCCTTATGGCGACAACCGTGATATTATCCTTATGGCGACAACCGTGATATTATCCTTATGGCGACAACCGTGATATTATCCTTATGGCGACAACCGTGATATTATCCTTATGGCGACAACCGTGATATTATCCTTATGGCGACAACCGTGATATTATCCTTATGGCGACAACCGTGATATTATCCTTATGGCGACAACCGTGATATTATCCTTATGGCGACAACCGTGATATTATCCTTATGGCGACAACCGTGATATTATCCTTATGGCGACATGCATCACTAGCATCGATCATACGTAAATAAAAAACGAAACATTTTGACACATCTCTGGTGATCAGTAATACTTGTTGGTGTGTGTATATGTGTGCATCTCTCTCTCTCTCTCTCTCTCTCTCTCTCTCTCTCTCTCTCTCTCTCTCTCTCTCTCTCTCTCTCTCTCTCTCTCTCGCCTTGAGTGACAAGCACAACAGTTCTCGTCTGCACAAACCTGTCTTCACATTTTCTCCATTCTGGCGTTGATGGCGACTATGGCACGTGTAGGACTCCACCCACGGCTCCCGCTCCACAGCCATGTTGTTGTTGTTGTTTCAGATTTAGCTACTTAAAACGAAATGTCCATGTAGCACGGTCTATAGTGAGCCCGTAATTGAGTTCGGTTATTCGCGATAACCTTCGATATTTGGGTAAAAGTTTTAAATGGAGGTGGGGTTTCCTGCTCTTCACCTGTTTCTTTTCTGCTTCTGTTTTAGCGCACTAGTTTTAGTCTTGTTTTAATAACATTATCTTGGTGGTGGATATAGACGCAGTGTTCACTATTGTGTCTCATTCTTTAGCTGCTTTTCTAACCATTGTAATCGCTTTGGATTTTGCACCTAATGCAGCTGCTCTTCTTGGATGAATGTTGAGTTTGATGCGCAGGGCTTCAATAGCTTCACATTCCAGTAAGTAGTGCAATAGTGGCGCCTCTGCTTCTGTTCCTCAGGTATGACACTCTTTAACCATCGAGTTTATTACCTCCCAGCAGCACTTGTAACCAAGTCTGAGTCTGTGTATGGCTACTGCAATGTCTCTGGATGCCTTGAAAGAGATCATAGCCACCATTCCATACTTATTTGCACGAAACGCTGTGCGTGTTAGTGGATTTAGGTATTGTATGTACTAGCTCTATTTATAAATCCAACATTATGTTTGTAACACATCTTCTATGGATGTACTTTTACCTGAAATAAAAATTTGAATTTGTATTTTGAATTTGAATTTATGTGACATGACCACATCGCCCAAGCCCGACCCACACCTCACATGACACGTGTTCCCTGCCCCGTGTGCCGGAGGCCTTCCCGGGCAGCGGCGTCCCCTCACTGGTCGCTGGCGAGAACACCGCTCTTCCTCCAGTTTTTCACAGGCTGACATTTGCCCCAAACCCGTCATTCCGGTAACCATACAGCGAGAAGTGGCAGTTTAAGAGCGCCAGGAGTGATGCCACGTGAGCTCTAGCTCCTGGTCGTCCCGCTGTGGCTCCGCCGGGATACACAGACCACTGTGCAGACCACTGCGCTACAGCAGACAGAGGTGTCCGCGCAGTAGTGAAGACAAATACTTGGGGTCCAGTAGCACAGTAGGCTAAGTCCTCAACTCGCACTCGAGGGACCCAGATTCATTCTCCGGGCAAGATAAAAACGGTTGGAAACATTTCCTTTCACCCGATACAACTGTTCACCTGGTTGTAAATAGGAATTCGAGAGTCAAGCAAGTGTTGCAGGGTGCCTCCTGGGGTAGGCCAGTAGCGGCCTACGGAAGGGGGGGGGGGACCTCAAGAATATAAACTAGAGGCTTCCTGTCCCCGACACCGGGGGACAGGTCACGTGAGGTCACGTGACCCAAGACACGGGGAGATTGTGAACGTAGCACCGCACACCATCATCCTCAGACTACCATCACCGCAGGGCTACTGACTACTGGCTACTGACTATTGGGCTACCGAACTACCGGGGCCCAAGTGAACACATCCGCCTCCTCCAGCGGGCGTGTTGACAACACTGGAAAACGTCAAGTTGACAAGAACCGTATATATAGTCCCAGTAAATGATCAAATGTAAGTGGGATATGTTGCAATTTGTATATGTTGTGTATTTAGCAATGGAGGAATTTTCCTGCACGACGAAGGTAACTAACATGATCATGATTATTCCTGGAGGACCCACCTGACGACCTCTACACCCACGACCACGCCTGACGACCCACCTGGAGGACCCACCTGACGACCTCTACACCCACGACCACGCCTGACGACCCACCTGGAGGACCCACCTGACGACCTCTACACCCACGACCACGCCCCACGACCCACCTGGAGGACCCACCTGACGACCTCTACACCCACGACCACGCCCCACGACCCACCTGGAGGACCCACCTGACGACCTCTACACCCACGACCACGCCCCACGACCCACCTGGAGGACCCACCTGACGACCTCTACACCCACGACCACGCCCCACGACCCACCTGGAGGACCCACCTGACGACCTCTACACCCAAGACCACGCCTGACGAACCACCTGGAGGACCCACCTGACGACCTCTACACCCACGACCACGCCCCACGACCCACCTGGAGGACCCACCTGACGACCTCTACACCCACGACCACGCCCCACGACCCACCTGGAGGACCCACCTGACGACCTCTACACCCACGACCACGCCCCACGACCCACCTGGAGGACCCACCTGACGACCTCTACACCCACGACCACGCCCCACGACCCACCTGGAGGACCCACCTGACGACCTCTACACCCACGACCACGCCCCACGACCCACCTGGAGGACCCACCTGACGACCTCTACACCCACGACCACGCCCCACGACCCACCTGGAGGACCCACCTGACGACCTCTACACCCAAGACCACGCCTCACGAACCACCTGGAGGACCCACCTGACGACCTCTACACCCACGACCACGCCCCACGACCCACCTGGAGGACCCACCTGACGACCTCTACACCCACGACCACGCCCCACGACCCACCTGGAGGACCCACCTGACGACCTCTACACCCACGACCACGCCCCACGACCCACCTGGAGGACCCACCTGACGACCTCTACACCCACGACCACGCCTGACGACCCACCTGGAGGACCCACCTGACGACCTCTACACCCACGACCACGCCCCACGACCCACCTGGAGGACCCACCTGACGACCTCTACACCCAAGACCACGCCTGACGACCCACCTGGAGGACCCACCTGACGACCTCTACACCCAAGACCACGCTTGACGACCCACCTGGAGGACCCACCTGACGACCTCTACACCCAAGACTACGCCTGACGACCCACCTGGAGGACCCACCTGACGACCTCTACACCCAAGACCACGCTTGACGACCCACCTGGAGGACCCACCTGACGACCTCTACACCCAAGACCACGCCTGACGACCCACCTGGAGGACCCACCTGACGACCTCTACACCCAAGACCACGCCTGACGACCCACCCGGAGGAGGTGTTAACGACCAGTGTGTCTACTGCCAGTCACATTTGGATTTTGACTTTCCATCCAAAAGCTATAAGTGTGGTTAACAATTGTGGCGTCAGCTAACAGTGAGAGAATATGGCACCTGGTAGATGTTAGTGACACACCACCCTGCACTACACCACACACACACACGCGCATGGCGAGGGGCTGGGGGCCTTCAGAGCCGTGTCTGGCCGTGACAGGATGAACAACCCATGGGACTTTCTTCCTATTGAGGAGTGTTGTAGATGCTGCTAGGGCGGTGTGTCCACTCACAGGATGGGTGGCGTTGTTTACTAAACCCGGCCTTCGAGGGCAAAATTTCAACAACTCCGTCGAGCCCTCTACAAGCAACACTAATTTGAAAACCTTCGATATATGCCTCGTTGGTCTAAAGTTGAGGTCAACGGCAAAGATGAGAGGCGTGTTCCATCATCAGTTGTCAGGTGTTGGAAGACTGACAGACACACCTTGACGGTGAACAAACGCAAGTGCTTTCACTGTCTTAGGTGAGGGAGCTGAGGGAGCTACGACACACATCCCAATCTTATCTGGGGAAGGAGGGGGGTGTAGAGGGTGTGAGGGGGAGAGGTAGGTAGTGGGGGGAGGGGAAAGTGGTGGGTGGTTGGGTGATAGGTAAGGAGGGAGGGAGGGGGGGGGAGGCGTCAACCTTCCCTTAAGGGTCGTGTGGAGTGATGAAGAAGCAAGTGACGGAGAAAGTTTCGTACCCACAACAAGACCAGAGCCGCGTGTACGACACCGCAAGACCAGAGCCGCGTGTACGACACCGCAAGTCCAGAGCCGCGTGTACGACACCGCACACCCACCTATTACACTCACACTCCTCTCTCTAATAAAAAATAAAACAATAAATCTTTATATACATGCGGAGAGGCTGGGGGCCCCTGGTGCTGGGAGGCTGGGGGCCCCTGGTGCTGGCAGGCTAGGGGCCCCTGGCGCTGGCAGGCTAGGGGCCCCTGGCGCTGGCAGGCTGGGGGCCCCTGGTGCTGGGAGGCTGGGGGCCCCTGGCGCTGGCAGGCTAGGGGCCCCTGGCGCTGGCAGGCTAGGGGCCCCTGGCGCTGGCAGGCTGGGGGCCCCTGGTGCTGGGAGGCTGGGGGCCCCTGGCGCTGGCAGGCTGGGGGCCCCTGGCGCTGGCAGGCTGGGGGCCCCTGGTGCTGGGAGGCTGGGGGCCCCTGGTGCTGGGAGGCTGGGGGCCCCTGGCGCTGGCAGGCTGGGGGCCCCTGGCGCTGGCAGGCTAGGGGCCCCTGGCGCTGGCAGGCTAGGGGCCCCTGGCGCTGGCAGGCTGGGGGCCCCTGGTGCTGGGAGGCTGGGGGCCCCTGGCGCTGGCAGGCTGGGGCCCCTGGCGCTGGCAGGCTGGGGGCCCCTGGTGCTGGGAGGCTGGGGGCCCCTGGTGCTGGGAGGCTGGGGGCCCTGGCGCTGGCAGGCTGGGGGCCCCTGGCGCTGGCAGGCTGGGGGCCCCTGGTGCTGGGAGGCTGGGGGCCCCTGGTGCTGGGAGGCTGGGGGCCCCTGGCGCTGGCAGGCTGGGGGCCCCTGGCGCTGGCAGGCTGGGGGCCCCTGGTGCTGGGAGGCTGGGGGCCCCTGGCGCTGGCAGGCTGGGGGCCCCTGGTGCTGGGAGGCTGGGGGCCCCTGGCGCTGGCAGGCTGGGGGCCCCTGGTGCTGGGAGGCTGGGGGCCCCTGGTGCTGGGAGGCTGGGGGCCCCTGGCGCTGGCAGGCTGGGGGCCCCTGGCGCTGGCAGGCTGGGGGCCCCTGGCACTGGGAGGCTGGGGCCCCTGACGCTGGGAGGCTGGGGGCCCCGACACGCGACCTACACTCCCACGTACCAAAATATCCCACAATGTCGAGGACTCTTGTAGAACTTTCGAAATTAAAGCCAATTTTTTTTATTTTTTTTTTTTTTTAGCGTAGATGGATAATTTAAGACAACCGAGTTGTAAACCCTTCCGGGTACACCAGACCCCGATGGCGCGAGTCTCTGTAGCCTGCCTGAGTTTACCTCCGACACACACCTACACTCATGATGTAGTTTACCGTCATGGCGGACCTGTACTTGTTCTCACCGGGGCCCCGCCTGGCTCACTAATAACCTTTCGGGGGATGCAACCCCCTAACTCCAACAGTTGCCTAACTCCCGGGTATCTCTTGTACTACTAGGTGAACACAGGCATCAGGTGAAAGAAAACGTGCCCAATCATCTCTGTCGTACCGAACCTGGGACAGTCGGCTCCGACCTGGTGACCTAGACCATTAAGCCACAGGATATATATATATATATATATATATGTCGTACCTAATAGCCAGAACGCACTTCTCAGCCTACTATGCAAGGCCCGATTTGCCTAATAAGCCAAGTTTTCATGAATTAATGTTTTTTAGACTACCTAACCTACCTAACCTAACCTAACCTACCTTTTTTGGCAACCTAACCCAACCTAACCTATGAAGATAGGTTAGGTTAGGTTAGGTAGGGTTGGTTAGGTTCGGTCATATATCTACGTTAATTTTAACTACAATAAAAAAGAATTGACCTCATACATAATGAAATGGGTAGCTTTATCATTTCATAAGAAAAAAATTAGAAAAAATATATTAATTCAGGAAAACTTGGCTTATTAGGCAAATCGGGCCTTGAATAGTAGGCCAAAAAGTGAGTTCTGGCTACTAGGTACGACATATATATATATATATATATATATATATATATATATATATATATATATATATATATATATATATATATATATATATATATATATATATATATATATATATATATATATGTATATATATATATATATATATATATATATATATATATATATATATATATATATATATATATATATATATATATATATATATATGTCGTACCTAGTAGCCAGAACTCACTTTTTGGCCTACTATTCAAGGCCCGATTTGCCTAATAAGCCAAGTTTTCCTGAATTAATATATTTTTTCTAATTTTTTCTTATGAAATGATAAAGCTACATATATATATATATATATATATATGTATATATATATATATATATATATATATATATATATATATATATATATATATATATATATATTGATGCTGGCAGCTATATTGATGTTATCGTAGCAATATAACTCCTCTGCTGAATGAGGTCATCAATGATCAGCTCACCTGTTGTGTACCTAAGTTCTTAAAGCAAGACGGTATCCATGTGGTCACCCATCCAGTCACTTGCCAGACAGAGCGACACAATAAGTAAACGATGTGTGGCCTCAACAGATGTGCTCAAACATCATCCGAGATGAACAAGAAGAGCAGAAAACCCTGACACACCTGTCACGGGCAGCGTGACACACCTGTCACCTTGGCGTCACGTGCAGCGTGACACACCTGTCACCTTGGCGTCACGTGCAGCGTGACACACCTGTCACCTTGGCGTCACGTGCAGCGTGGCACACCTGTCACCTTGGCGTCACGTGCAGCGTGACACACCTGTCACCTTGGCGTCACCTGCAGCGTGACACTCCTGTCACCTTGGCGTCACGTGCAGCGTGACACACCTGTCACCTTGGCGTCACCTGCAGCGTGACACACCTGTCACCTTGGCGTCACGTGCAGCGTGACACACCTGTCACCTTGGCGTCACGTGCAGCGTGACACACCTGTCACCTTGGCGTCACGTGCAGCGTGACACACCTGTCACCTTGGCGTCACGTGCAGCGTGACACACCTGTCACCTTGGCGTCACGTGCAGCGTGACACACCTGTCACCTTGGCGTCACGTGCAGCGTGACACACCTGTCACCTTGGCGTCACGTGCAGCGTGACACACCTGTCACCTTGGCGTCACGTGCAGCGTGACACACCTGTCACCTTGGCGTCACGTGCAGCGTGACACACCTGTCACCTTGGCGTCACGTGCAGCGTGACACACCTGTCACCTTGGCGTCACGTGCAGCGTGACACACCTGTCACCTTGGCGTCACGTGCAGCGTGACACACCTGTCACCTTGGCGTCACGTGCAGCGTGACACATCTGTCACCTTGGCGTCACGTGCAGCGTGACACACCTGTCACCTTGGCGTCACATGCAGCGTAACACACCTGTCACCTTGAGTTACAGGGAGCATGACACAACTGACATCTGTGTGTCACAGGGAGTGTGACACACCTGACGAGCCTGGTGACACACCTGGCGTTGCTGTGACACACATCCGGGGAGGCTCCTGACATATCTGCATGACGGGAACCTGGTAACACACCTGATGTAGCTGTGACACATCTGGCGAGACTGGTGACACACACACACACTCCTAACGAGGCTTCCACACACCTGGCGAAGCTGTGACACACCTGGGGAGAGGGTGAACTTCTCTAAGACAGCATCATGTGTGTCCTCCAGCACAGCCCGTTGCTAGGCTGATGTACATCACTCCGACGACTCTACGCAACTTGAGACGCTTGTAACACCACTAAGGCACCTGTTTACTCTCCTGTGTGTCCACACCGTACACACACACACACACACACACACACACACACACACACACACACACACACACACACACACACACACACACACACACACACACACACACACCGATGGGTCGGGCAGGAGGTCAAGACGATAATGTCAGAGGTGATCCCCGAAACTCTTCAACAGACCAACCAACTCATCATCTCAAACATTCTTCATCTGTTGCTACTCCAGTGTGTGCGTATTCACCTAGTTGTGCTTGCGGGGGTTGAGCTCTGCTCTTTCGGCCCGCCTCTCAACTGTCAATCAATCAACTGTAACTACTTTTTTTTCCCCAGACACACACACACACCCCTCCGCAAAAGCTGTCTAACTCACAGGTACCTATTTACTGCTTTGCCCATTTTGTTCCTGCCTGGTCCGGGAATCGAACCCGGGCCACAGTATTACGAGTCCTGCGCACTGTCAGCTCAGCTACCAGACCCCCTCCTATGTGTGTGTGTGTTGTTCTGTCCCGGTCTTCCTGAGGGGGGGTTGGGGCTTACGGAGCTTAAACCTCCAAAGAGTTTTGATCACTGCACCAGACTGTTCTTCGCGTACACGTAGACATCGTCCCCCCAACCACTCTCTGCCGGAACAGACAAACGACCTCGGCAGCCACACTCTCGCTTCCGCAGTTCGACCAACAATGAATTTAAGAGTGCTTGTAGTTGTAGTGTTCTCAGATCACCCTGTACGCCTCTTGATCTTGGAGAGGGGTTCAGCGTTCTTGTTACGTTCATGTTTAACAAATTTGCTAACTTTTTATTCCAGCATAGTTGAGGCAGTTGATAGTAGTAAGGATTGTGATGTTGTGTACCTTGACTTTAGCAAAGCTTTTGATACAGTGCCACATGAAAGACTAATTAAAAAAATAGAAGCTCATGGTATTGGGGGTGCTATATTAACTTGGATTAGGGCATGGCTATTCCAAAGGAAACAGAGAGTTAGTATAAATGATTTAGATTCAGGTTTGAGTAGCAACATTTGCAAATTTGCCGATGATACGAAAATCGGTAGGGAAATTAATTCGGAGGAGGACTCACTATCACTTCAAGTTGATCTAGATAGGGTTTTGAAATGGTCAAAGGATTGGCAAATGCAGTTTAATGCTGATAAATGTAAAGTTCTGAGGCTAGGTAATGATGATAGAGTTACAAGATACGAGCTAGATGGTGTTGAGATTGCGAAGTCGGATTGCGAAAGGGATCCGGGAGTTATGATTAGTAAGAATTTAAAACAAAAGGATCAATGCATGAATGTTC